GCGCGCGCGACGATTCGCGCGTGTGCACTTCGTTCCATATATCGCAAAACAAATTATCGCGACGGCACGCGCGCAAGGGCGTTCGCACGATTTCGAAATGCGCGCGCGAAGCCCGTTTGGTGGTATTTTGTGAAAGTGTTGAAAACCAGTGGTTTTCTTAGGAATTCGGAAGAGCGCGCGCACGATCTTTTGTTTGACAATTCGTTTTGCGAAAGCATGATTTTTTTATATGTGTTTGGGACACTCGATTTTGCAATCCTTCTGAAACCAAGGGTTTTTGAAGGATTTCGGCATGCGCGCGCGACGACGCGCGCGTGTGCACATCGTCCCGTGTTTTTGCAAGGCATGTTTCAAAATCTGATGGTTTTTCATAAACAAGTGCGTGCATCGTATTTTTTGGCAGAGGATGACGGGCGGGGTCGATACCGGTTGGGCTGGGATGGTCTGAGTTCATATTTCGCATGGGCGATGGGGCAGAATCGTAATTTGCAATACGAAAACAGGAGCCGATAATCCCACGGGGGTGTAGATCTCTTATTTCTGGTCAGAAAGGAGAATCTATGTGGTGCGCAATCTAGGCGGCGACGGGGCGGCGACGGCGGCAACATAGCCGCCAGACCGGCATACAGGCCCAGACGATAAGCGGCGACGGGGCGGCGACTGGGCGGCGACGGCTGCAACATAGCCACCAGACCAGCAGACTCCCAAACGACGGGCGGTGACGAGGCGGCGACGGGGCGGCGACGGCGGTTACATAGCCGCCACACTGGCAGACAGTCCCAGACGACGGGCGGCGACGAGGCGGCGACGGGCTGGCGACGGCGGCAACATAGCCGCCAGACCGGCACGCAGGCCCAGACGATAGGCGGCGACGAGGCGGCGACGGGGCGGCGACGGCTGCAACATACCCGCCAGACTGCGAGACAGGCCCAGTTCTTTCGAGGAGAAACGAGAAACCCTAAATGCAAGCACTGTATGGGGAAAAACGTACACACACTCAGGGGCATCGTAAAAGGGGAGAGAAGTGTCGGGTTCGAGCTTCGAGGTTTTCGGGCGGTTTCGTCGGTCCTCGGCGGCTTCCCATCCTCGGCATGCTCTTTCTGACAGCTGCGCCTCGCCGAGGGCGTTCCAGGGGTGCCAGAGCCTTCTCGAACGTCCGCTGGAGGGCCGAGATAGCCCGAAACCAAGGAGCTCCGACATGGGGGGGATAGGCTCGGGGGGGGACGCATCGACCGCCAATCGCCTTTGATCGTTGATAGGGACCCGATAGCCCACACCGCTAAGGAGCCTGTGGTAGCGCTACCTCCGGCCTATCGCCGATCTGTCGGCAATGTATGGCCGCTTCTGCCTCGATGTTTCTCCCCTGAGTCGGTCCCCCGTATCGTTCCCCGGTTCGCCCTCAGACGCGCTACGCACATCGCAGTCCCAAAGGCGCAGTGCTCCGAGCTTTTCCCAGCCTCCCGCCCTGCGAGGCGGAGCGCCACGCTATCGGCCTGCAGGGCGTGGCGTGTCGCAGGGGCATCCCCGGCGACGCGCCCAGCAAAGGTTCTCTACAGCAGGTGCTTTTTCACTGCTTGCCAAAACACCCTAACGCAGTGTGAAAGTCCCAGGCGCCCCCAAATCTCAGGTCGGCTCTGTGTGTGTGTGTGTGTGTGTGTGTGCGGGTTTCGCTGTGTGTGCTTCTGGATCGATGTTCTGGAACGTCCCGCCCTTTGGAAACTGGCAGGCGCGACGGCGACTTCGGGTTGGGTCGGGGTGGCTCAGTGGGCAGTCAGCTTCTAGCTTAAGGATCGACCGCGTAGCGTTACACCCACGCATCATGGGTCGGATGGACCAGCGTGCTCCGTCTAGGTGTATGTTGAAATCTAGGCCTCCTAGATGGGGTCCGAGTAGATGGGGTCGGAGGTTCGCGCCGCATCGCCGATGCATCGCCGATGCGGCTCGATGTGAGGCCCGTGTTTCCCCACGCCGACGTCGCCGATGCATCGCCGATGTCGCTGGTGCATCGCCGATGCATCGCCGATACATCGGCGATGCATTGGCGATGCAGCGCGATCTTCGACGAAATCTAGGAGGCCTCTATGAGAGCTGCAAGAACATGTGCGCAGTACCCGAGCGGGGGCACACACCCGCAGGGGGGTCGCCCTGCACCCTTGCGGTGGCTGGATACTTGGAGTTCCCACGATCTTTACGTTTGTGGAGACGATCAACAAAGAGGAGGCATGTCGTCAAATAGTTTCAAACGTGTTTTAACCATGCGGAGAAAATGCTTGAGACATGTTTTTCTCTTTCCACAGTTCAAAGGCATTTCATGCAATTTTGAATCCAATGATAGGGCTGTTAGAGTGTCAATTATCATGGCATCTACAACTTTACGCACTAGGAGATGCAGTCAACACGCTGATGAGGGACCGCTTGGGGCTCAAGAAGGGGTCTGGCTGTCGGGCCGCTCCGCAGATCTGGGCCCGCGGGAGCCTCTTCGCGGCGAAGGCTCGGTGTG